GCGGTGCTTGGGGGGGATGTGGCACCGGCCCTGTCACCAGAGTGGGGGGTACTGGTGGCTGCCACCCTGCTGGGGCAAGATGGGCAGCTCTGTCTTGGCCCCCACGGTCACCTCCATGCTGAGATGCCATGCTGGGCACGGGCTGGGGGACCCCAAACTGGGAGCGACCCATTGCAAACTGGTGCCCATTTGCAGGGCACAAGGCAGGCCCTGCATGTGGCACGGTGGCAGCCCCACGGGGACGGGCTGTGGGGTGGTGGTGGGGACACACGGGGGCCTGGCAGGGGTGCATCCCCCTGCATGGGTGACTCAAGATGAGGCACGTGTGCGTGTAGAGAGCACGTCCCCTGGCAGTGCGTGTCCCCCCAAGTGCCATGTCCCTTGGCCATATACACTCCCCCGAGGGCCATGTCCCCTGCCAGCATGTCCCCCAGAGGGTCATGTCTCCTGGCTGTGTGGGAGCCTGGAGGGATGTGTCCCCTGCCTGCACATGTCCCCTGCCTGCACGTGCCCCCCAGAGGGACTCATCTCCTGGAGGAACACACTCCCCCAGCTGTGTGTCCCCGAAGGACATGGCCCTTGGCCATGTGTGTCCCCAGGGGGTTGTGTCATCTGGCTGTGCATGACCCTGGCCATACAGGTCCCCAGGTCATACATGTCCCCAGCAGGCTGTGTCGTCTGGCTGTGCACGACCCTGGTCATATATGTCCTCTGGTCATACATGTCTCCAGCGGGCTGTGTCATCTGGCTGTGCATGACCCTGGTCTTACATGTCCCCTGGTCATACATGTCCCCAGGGGGTTGTGTCATCTGGCTGTGCATGACCCTGGTCATATATGTCCCCTGGTCATACATGTCCCCAGGGGACTGTGTCGTCTGGCTGTGCATGACCCTGGCCATACAGGTCCTCTGGTCATACATGTCCCCAGGGGGTTGTGTCGTCTGGCGGTGCACGACCCTGGCCATACAGGTCCTTTGGTCATACATGTCCCCAGCGGGCTGTGTCATCTGGCTGTGCACGACCCTGGCCATACATGTCCCCTGGTCATACATGTCCCCAGGGGACTGTGTCGTCTGGCTGTGCACGACCCAGGCCATACATGTCCCCTGGTCATACATGTCCCCAGGGGGCTGTGTC